GTGCCTGCGCTGGAAGGAGCTGGTGGACGGTGCCCCGCTGTGGCTGCTCAAGTGCCAGCAGGAGGGGCTGGTGGCCGAGGACGGCGCCGAGGACGAGCGCGACCACTGGCAGCAGTTCTACTTCCTGAGCAAGCGGCGGCGCAACCTGCTGCGCAACTCGTGCGGGGAAGGTGAGGGGCGGCAAAGTGGGCCAGGGCGGCCCCAGCCTGCCTGGCGGGTTACGAGCCATAGAGTGCTGGGCACAGTGCCCAGCACAGAGCAGTGGCAACAAATACTGCCCACTAGTAGCGCCCTGACTCCCCCGCCTGCACCCCAGGGCCCCGCGGAGGGGGTCTCTCTTGACCTTCAGGACTAGGGCGGACAGATCAGACCCCGGGGAGGACCCTCCCAGGAGGAAGAATCTGGGCACAAACGAAGTACCCACTCTGAAGCCCCCCTCATCGTCCGCCCACCCTGGACACCATGCGAGTTACCCAGTCTCTCCTGCCCACCTGGGCAGGGCTGAGCGACCTGGGTGGGTGACCAGGGCGGGTGCGCTTTCCCACAGAGGATCTCGAGGGCTGGTGTGACGTGGAGCATGGTGGGGACGGCTGGAGGGTGGAGGAGCTGCCCGGAGACTGCGGGGCGGAATTCAGTCAGGACGAGAGCGTCAAGAAGTTCTTCGCCTCCTCCTTTGAGTAAGGAGAACAGGGCGGGGAGGTGCTGGGCTGCGGGGTCCCCTCCGTCTTGACATCCCAGTTCTCTCAGGTGGTGTCGCAAAGCACAGGTCATTGACCTGCAAGCCGAGGGCTACTGGGAGGAGCTGTTGGACACGACTCAGCCGGCCATCGTGGTGAAGGACTGGTGAGTACTGGGGCCAGGGCTGCTCAGAGCAGAGGGTGGGGCTGGGCCAGGTGCCCTGCTCCCAACGCTACAGCTCATGTTCACAGGTGCTTTCTGGGGTTGGCACCTTCTGAGTTAGAGAGAGCTGGTGAAAATCTACCCCTTTCCTATTGAGATTTAAATGTTGGCTATTTATGTATAAAACCCCAACACACTGCGCTGTGGAGTCTGGCTCAGAGCAGCTCTGAGGGACGGGGTAGAACTGCCCTGTGGGTTTCCCAGACTGTAACTCTTTACGGGAGTAGAAAGCCTCGTCTTCCTCTGTCGGAGCGCCTGGTGGTTGAACCAACCGCCTGTGTGTTACCTACTGTGGCCACCCAGTCAAATCTGTTGTGGTTCAAAAAAACACATGTGAACTGGCCCCGGCCCCAAGGCTGGGTCTGTGGACTGGCGTTAGTCTTGGCTGCCGGGAGAGTCACCTTCTCTCGCAGGCCTCTGTGTCCTGTTCAGTGGGGTCAGTGGTGGCACCGGCCTCTTCAGGTGGTTGGGCATAGGTAACCGCACCTGTAGAAGGCTCGGCCTATGGTCCCAGCCTGCAAGGCAGAGGCTGCGCCCCAGGGGCTTCTGCCTTCCCTCCCACCAGGTACTCGGGCCGCAGCGATGCGGGCTGTGTGTATGAGCTCACCGTGAAGCTGCTGTCTGAGCATGAGGACGTGCTGGCTGAGTTCAGCACTGGGCAGGTGGCAGTGCCCCAGGACTCTGACGAAGGTGGCTGGATCGAGGTGAGCTGGTGGGGTTGGGGCAGTGCATGGTGGGGCCTAGACTCTAGGGACAAGCCCTGTGGAAACTCCACCCAGGGTGCGGACTTGTTCCCTGGGGTACTGGTGCGAAGAATAAGGTGACCAGATTTTAACATTGGTAAAGCGGGACACCATTGATAAAACTCATATCCTGGCGAAATAGCCACATGGCAGCCGAAAACCGTACACCCTAGCTTGTTGTGCATTCTGTCCAAAAATCAGGACTTTTTAAAAACGCTACAGGACGCGGGACAAATTGGGACTGTCCCTCCAAAAGCGGGATGTCTGGTCACCTTAGCTAAGAACACCCTTGGGGATCAGAGGTTGGGCAGGGCACAGGGGTGGGGAGGGTGGGCTGGAGGAGACGGAGAACCCTCCCAGTTTGACCCCCTGCCTCCCTCCCCAGATCTCACACACTTTCACCGACTACGGGCCTGGCGTCCGCTTCGTCCGCTTCGAGCACGGTGGGCAGGACTCCGTCTACTGGAAGGGCTGGTTCGGGGCGAGGGTGACCAACAGCAGTGTCTGGGTGGAGCCCTGACCCCTGAAGGCAGAGGCCAGCGGGCAGATAGGCCTTAACTTAGTCGTAGCTTCCTCTGCCCCCACCTCTCACCTCTCCTGCCCACCAGGGGAAAGAGGGTGTTCTGTGGGCATACATCTGCATATATTTGCATCTAATTGGCAGCCCACCTCTAGAATGTAAGCTCTTGGAGGGCGTGGGCCTGGGCTGACCCTCACTGCTCTGTTCCCCTCCTCCAGTGGGTGTTCAATAAAGACCATTTGTCAAAGGCAGCGATGAATGAACGTGCGGCTGAATGAATGTGCTCCGCGCTCCCCGCCCTCCCAGTCTCCTGCGGCCCTGGCCCAGTCTAGAAAAATCCTTGGTGGGGCTCCAGCTGCTCTGGTTTCCAGGGCCCTTGGGCCTGTGTGGAGCCAGTCGAGCCAGGGCTGCAGGGCTGGACAAAGGCCGGTTTGTGTGGGCCGAGGAGGGGCCAGTGGGGCCTGGCGCCTGACGACATCCTAGCTGCCCAGGCATGGGGGGTGCCCTTCAGGCCTCTCTGCCCAGTTGATTCCTGGCCTGGCTGCCCCTCCCCCTGTGGTGTTGATGGCAGTGATACCAAGTCTAGGGCAAAAACCCTCCTGGTGGCAGAAGTGGGCAGCAGGCCTCCCTCTGGTTTAGGCCCACTCAGGCTCTCCCCTCTGGCCTGGACTAGCATCTGGCCTTTCATTGGTCAGTTTCCCAGTCCTGCCCAGAGGGGTCCTTTTGACCTTGGTAGCCCCTGGCATTGGTTCCCCAAAGGGGGTGGGAGTGTGTGTGCCAGGCTGTGTGCCTCGCAGCAGCCTCAGATCCTGCCCCTTCCCAGGGTCCCAGCTGCTGGCCCTGGAGGTGGTCGAGGGTCTTGAAACACCTGCCTCTCCCAGATGGTGACCCATGAAATCACAGTGCCGCTCCAACTTCCCTTTGAGCCTGACGCCTGATGTGGGCCAGGGGCGCAGGGTGCAGAGTTGAGGCTGCTAGTGTCTGTCTACAGTGTTCATTCACTCATTCATTCACTCATGATTTCTGGAACCCCAATGTCTGGCCTGGCCAGGGTAGGGGTAGGGGGGTAGGGGAGGAGGGCTGAAGAAGAGTCTAGATGGAGCCCATTGGGAGGGATCTATCCGGTGCCTGAGAGCTTCCAGTCTAATGTTGGAGGTCCAGCTCCTACCCTGGGGAAGCCTCAGCCCAGGGGAGACAAAGCCGTGTCCCTCCCTCCTTCCATAGGGATTTCCCACCTGGGGGAGGAGCACAGACCACACTTGACAGGAGGGGGAGCACTGTCTCATTTTGGGTCTCCCTGGGAGTGCTGGTGGAGGAGGGAAGGTGTGCTGTGTGCTCTGGGACAAGGAGCGGGGCTGGGTGGTATGTGGGAGCCAGAGCGGAGTGGGAGGGAGAGCAGGGCCAACACTAGGCCACGGAAGAGGCTGGATGCAGAGAGGCGTTGCCATGAAAGTGAATGGAGGCCCAATGCAAGAACACTTTGTTCCGTTAACCTGGCATTCCGTGATGCTCACCTCCCGATACCATTGCTGAAGACAGTGGGTGCATAAGCAAATGTGGTGAAGAAAGCTGATGGTGCCCGGCTATCAAAAGATAAAGCATCTTAAAGACTTGAAGGTAAGCAAGTGGCCATCTAGCTGAGAAGCAGCAAAGCCCACATGGAAGAAGCACACCAGCTTGTGTGATCATGAGGTGTCGATGGGATCAGGTATCAGGCATCAAA